GAGTGGACAGTGAGTGGACACAGTGTTTAAAAACTCCAGCAGCACTGCTGTGTCTGATCCACTCAGACCAGCACAACACACACTAACACACCACCACCACATCAGTGTTACTGCAGCGCTGAGAATGATCCACCACCCAAATAGTACCTGCTCTGTGAGGGTCCATGGGGGTCCTGACCACTGAAGAACAGGGTAAAAGGGGGCTAACAAAGTATCAGAGAAACAGATGGACTACAGTCTGTAACTGTAGAACTACAAAGTGCACCTATATAGTAAGTGGAGCTGATAAAATGGACAATGAGCGTAGAAACAAGGAGGTGGTCATAATGTTATGCCTGATCGGTGTGTTACATTCAGAGTTGTCACTATGGAAACACATTTTCTGCAATTAAGTGAACTTTTTACATTTCAATAAAAATATAATGATTTTATGTGTGGACAACTGTTCAAAACTGTGTTTGCCAGCTGAGTTTTGCTCAAAATTAGCTAAAATTGCCAGTACTAAAACAATCACTAATGAAACATTTGGTAAGGTTTCAGTAGTGTTTTGACTGTTTTGGCAGTGACATAATTGAATGCTCATTCATTTATTTTAATAAACATAATTGAGGTATAGAGTCACTCAAAGTCCAAAATGGGTTTCCAACTCTGACTTTAAACCAATTTGGTAGAAAGATCCATATAACCATGCCATGTTCTCCAGATCAGCTGGAAGTTACTTTGCCCTTTTTTGTAATCAAATGAAATAAATTGGATTTTCCAAGCACTAGATCCTTATCATTTATCGCAAAAGGAACTGATTGCGTTAAACAAAGCTTTATAACCAACTGAATCGTCTGCCAAAACACGCGCAATCGTTTCATTGTTAGAGAAGTCCAGAGTTCTCCGTCTCTTAAATCATTAGAGTAAGCCGGCTCGTCCCTGTAAGGTATAAAGCATCCCTTGGAGAAGCCCTGAAGCCTGATTGGATGTAATAGCTTGCCGAGTAGCTGGGAAAAAAAGCAGGCACTGATCAGGCCGTCTGAGCTGTGTATCGTCTGGGGCTCAGCTCTCTCCCACTGGCTGCTAATGAGGGGAGGAGGACAGAGAGAGGAAGTGGTAATTGGATAGTCCCTGTCCTGCCGCCTGAGCTGGTGCGGCTGTGTGTCTGATCTTTATATAGTGGCTTTAAGCAAACAGCATCTGCTGTCTGGGCAACAGAGGAAAACCACAGAGCAGGAGAACACAATCACGCCGCATTCAGAGCTCTGCGTGGTAAAGCTCAGCTCTGCTTGAGTTCTTTCAGATATTATGAAGCAAGTGGAGCGGATACTGATTCATAGACCTTCTATTAACAGATGAATATATGTAGCTGTCACATTAATTAAAACTGTCTGCCTGTTTAAGCTGCATGGAACTTATCATCAGCTCATCAGCTGTTCTGCAGCACCATCACTATCATTTATCTCCTACATTCAACATCCATGTTTCTGAACCGATAGAATATAATATTATATATATATATATATATATATATATATATAAACACACATACATGTGCATAACATTGGGCGTCACTGGTTGAATGACAAGTTTTGCTGAAGTGAGAGTAAGTTAATGCATTTTCATATAGATTACTCAGCAAATAAATATAAATGGTGCACTAAGAAAAAAAATATATGCATATATGCATATATATATATATATATATATATATATATATATATATATATATATATATGCAGAGATGCAGAGAGCATGCAAATATATATATATTTCTGTAGAGGATGTGTTTTATTTTCCCTGCATCTTATTTCCATTTAGAAAATCAACTAAACATAGTTTGACTGGGGATGTTCAAAGTTTAGCATAATACATATAAATGCACATATAAAACCTACATGTTGGCTCTGTCAGAACCAAACTAGAATTATGAAATACCAGCTACATTTTATGCTGTTAAAATTTCATATTGAATGGACAAATAGCAATGATTCAGAAATAATATTCCCTTAACTTCCAATCAAATTTAAGAATGTTTTTCCTTCCCCTGTAAAATCACCATTTTGGACATTGGTAAACAGCACTGTAAAAAAGGCATCTGAGTAAATATGTAAAGCTATTTATCTGGGCAGTAAGATTTTATCAAAATTTACTAAATACTAACATTAGAATGTAAACTAATACGCAATGCATTTAATGTTAGCTCACCCATTTCAATAGCTGCTAATCAGTCCTTCACTACATTAAACCAGCTGTGCTGCAAATGCAGTGAATTAAACTTGTGTTCTTCCAGCTGTATTTTTCTATAAACTTTTATAGAAACTGTTATGTTTTGTCATGATCATGTTCATTTGTATTAGTCATAATGTTATGCAGATCGATATGGGAGCCTATAACGTTTGCACAGTACTGTGCATATAATTAGAGCACTGAGAAACAATACAAAATACTAAGAAACCTGTAGTTTGTGTTAAGCCGGGGCTAAAATACAACCCATTTTACTGACTAATTAATTTACACTCCTGGGCAAAAAGAAAGTGGGCCAAGCTCAAAATGGAATAGCATTAGGCTTTTTATGGTCTCAACAACAAATCATTAAACAAATAGATAAAGTAACTTAATATAGGAGAGCTTTTCTCTTTGATTTCCTCAAATGTTGAAGTTTTGTGTGTCAATTTGCAGATGAGCTTTTACAGAAAAAAAAGTTTTCCCCTCAGCACTGACGGCTTCAAACAGCTGGAAAACATTGTCAAGCAAGTTTGATTTTAATGTGGGACCAAATATTCTCTATAGGGCTAAATTTTGACTCTGACCAGTTCAAAACCATCAGTAAACACCATTATATTTTGGGTTTGGACAGTTTTTTTGTTCAGGAGTGCAGATCAATCACTAGTTTTCTTTGTGATAAAGGCTAAAGAATAAGCACTTGGAAAATCTAATTTATGTGGTTAGCAACGTGGCTGTTAGAACCATGGAGAACACAGGACGCCTTAAATGAGTCGTCATAAAGGACCAGCAAAATACAGTCCTGTGAAGAAATAAGAACCTCCTGTGAAAAGTGTAGTCCTTTAAACAATACTGATAGATAAAGGTGATGTAATTTAACGAGTTACATCTACAATTACCATTTTTGTCATCCTTTATATAATTGAAATGAACAGAAATGCAGTTACTTTATGTGAAAAAGTAAGTACATCCTTATACATATTCTTCAAATGCATCAAATTGAAATCAGGTGCATCCACTCAGTTGCGATTGATTAGAACACCCTTAGAGAACGTCTTGGAGGAATCTGTCTTATTGAAACCTGACATATCTGGTCTGGTTTGTTCTTTGTTATTTGAGTGTGAGATCAAAAGAGCTCTCTGAGGCCTTCAGAAAGAAGGCTGTGGATGACTATGAGTCTGGGAAGAGGTTCGAGAAGCATTTCCAAAATATTGGAAATCAATGATTCCACTGTCTGGAAGATCATCTACTCTGCCAACTTGTCCTGGCCCGTCCGCCTCACCATATCTATCCCAAGAGCAGATTGTAAGATGCTACAAGTCTTTAAGAAACCTAGAATTTCATCAGAGGATCTGCAGGTAACTCAACAACAGGCGGCCCTGCATGCATCTACTATTACAAACAAGACTGCACAGGGGAGCTGCGCCAGGAGGAAGACTAACTAAAAAGAACATCAGGGCAAGACTACAGTTTGCAAATCAGTATCTGGGCAAGGACCAGAACTTCTGGAACAATGTGCTATGGACAGGCGAGTCAAACAGTCAAAGAAAACCAAAGACAGCATTTGATCAGAAGAGCCTTAAACCAACTGTAAAGCATGATGTCGAAATGTTTGGAGCTGCTTTTCTGTCTCAGGGCCTGGTTTACCTGCAGCCACAGAATTCACTATGAATTCTCTTTCATGCAGGAGAATGCTAAAGGAGAATGAGAGGCCATCTGCCAAAAGGTTCAAGCTGAAGAAATGGACCTTCCAATAGGATAATGATCCCATACAAGTAAATCCACCATGGAATGGCTTAAAAGGAAGAAATGGAGGGTTTATGGAATGGCCCAGTCAAAGCCCAGATCTGAATCCCAATGAAATGATAGTAGATGCCAAAAGCTGGTAGACAGTTCTAGGAAATGCCTACATAAATCTGTTTATATCCAAAGGGGCTATACCAGTTACTGAAGCCAGGGGTGTACTTACTTTTTTAACAGAAAAAAGACATCTCAGTTAATTTATTTGTAAATAAATGATTGTAAAGTCAAATTCCGCGTGTGTTTGTTCTGTTACACAACATTTATATAATCAATCATTTAAACTAATCAAATTAATCAATCACCCATTGCAGAACTGACTCTGTGTGTTTTTCCTTTCTTTCCTTTGCCGAGCTGTACAGTTGCCCATCTTGTGCGTCTGATGCTGCTGCCTCTTCTGCCTTGATCGGGTGCCACTGCTCGCCGTGCAAACCTCACCCTCAGAACCTGACCCCACTGATGCTGCTGCTGCTGCTGCATGAACTAAACTATTCAAATTAATCATTTGCTCCACCTCTTTCCCTGTTTTTGTACTACAATACTTTATACTAACAATGTTTACTATCCGGTGTCGACGAGAGGAGGATGGGTTCCTCTTCTGAGTCTTGGTTCATCTCAAGGTTTCTTCCTGTTTCCTAGGGAGTTTTTCCTTGCCACTGTCGCCACTGGCGACGCTCATGGGGGCTTGGACCCGGATTTCTTTTTGTAATGCTGATTTCCTTGTAAAGCTGCTTTATGACAACACCTGTTGTAAAAAGCGCTATATAAATAAACTTTACTATTTATGCATACTGTTTGGCTAATAATCAAATACTGATATGCCTACATATGTCCAAAAAAAGTATTTCATGGGGTGCACTTACTTTTTCACATAATGTAAGAGAAGCACATTGCAAGTATGTCTGGACAGTCAACCACTGTAACGCAAAACAGTCTCTATTAATGAATATGAATGTATGTATTCTGTCCTGAAAACAAGCGCGAGGCAGTCATGTCTTTAAGAAAAATAGGCCATTTATTGATGTGATGTGCGAGCTGATCTATTACACAAGTGCTTTGCTTTGGGGTGAATTCAGGGTAAAAAAGTTCTTTGTGCGTAGATCTCCAGTGTTACTTTAAGGGCCTCGCTCAGGTTTGTGCGTGTCTGGCAGACTTGCGTACGTGTGGCCAGCTGCCCAATCCTGTTCTGCACAGCATCAGTGTGATTGACACTCCAGGGATCCTATGAGCAAAGCAGGAAAGAATCATTAGATGCAAACAAACACCCAAAAAACACAAAACATTAACGCACTTCTGCACGTTTAACGCACAATTACTATTTACTCACTGAATTGAACATATTGGAGCAAAAAAAAAACCCAAAACATACACATGATATATAATATTATATATTGTTGTTTTTAATTTTTTACATTTTCACATGATTTGAAAAAGGCAGCTGTTGTTTTGACCAACAGAAATGGTCCAAAATAATATCCTGCTCCATTAACTTTCTAAGGATGCTAAGGATGTTTTTTCCTTCTCCTGTAAAAATGACCTTTTTGGATATACAAATATTGGAACAAAGCATTATATGTATATATACATAGTCCAGCCACTTCATTAAGTGCATCGCCTTGTTTCTACTAGCTCCACACATCATATAGATGCACTTCGTAGTTCACCACAGGACTTTCTAAGCCCCCTTCACCCTGTTTTTCAATGATCTGGACAGAGCAGGTACTATTTGGTTGGTGGATCATTCTCAGCACTACAGTGACACTAGAGTGGACAGTAAGTGGACACAAAGTTTAAAAACTATCCACTCATACCAGCACCACACACACTAATACACCACCACCAGTGCTGAGAATGATCCACTATTCAAATAATACCTGCTCTGTGGTGGTCCTTTGGGGATCATGACCCCCATCATTGAAATCACAGGGTAAAACAGGGAGAACAGAGTCTACAGAGAAACAGATGGACTACAGTCTCGAACTGTAGAACTTAAAAGTGCTCCTACATGGTAAATGTACCTGATAAAATGAAGACTGTGGAAAAAAGGTGTATTTGATAAGTAGAAAGCACATTTCACAGGGCCATGTAGATAAAAATGTGGTGGTTTAAGAGTTTTTTGATATAGATGAGCTCCCTGCTGAAACCGGCATTGAGTGGATCAAACATGCAAATGCACTTTGAACAGAAGATCCAAAGGTGTTCCAATCATGTAGAAAATAATATTCCAATCATACAGGACCAATATATTTTTTTACATTTTTAAAACTATAATTTTATTATTACTAGCATTTTATCAGGCACATGATTATTCTGCAACTCTGCTTGTGCTTTTACTCTGGGCAACTAAACTTGCTTGCATTTGGGCCACAGCCCCAAAGCAGCCTGCAGCAAAGGAAAGTGAAGAGCTACGCTGTAATGTAAACACAGTGTCAGTCCTCAGTTGTGTACTCATAAAATAATGCACTGACTGATGAGCTGGAGGTAGTTTAGTATAATGCTACAGACAGAATAGTATGGCCCAAGCCCTGCACTGTGTATTTATTTCCTCAACATTCAAAAATGTGGCTAATACTCTGCTAACACTGCGGTGTTGTGTTGTTGAAGGGTGTCCAAGCTCTGTCCTACAGGGCTGGTGTCCAGTACAATTTGGTGATTTTCCAGCTCTACTAAACATGCCAATAAACTCATGACTTGACTCTGGTGTGTGTGCACGGAAATGAACAAAATCTGTGTTTACATTACGAGCCTCGTGGCTCAATTCCAATTCAATTTTTTCGCTAATAATGGGTGGGATTGGGACAAAACGCTTTGGCCTGCAGGTGGGAGCAATGATTACGATTTTCTATGGGAGTAGGATGAAATCTCACAGGACCTCTACCTCCAGACCAAAGCTGGACACCCCTGGTGGAGTTTCCTTGTGACTATTTTGACCAGCCTTTTCCTCCCTGCAGTCTTCCTTTACCTCATGTGAGCTACAGACACAGAGTGAGTGGAGCAGGTCAGCAGGGTGTTTGGTGTAGTCTCCCCGGAGGTGCACACTGGAGCCTTTCCCTCGGTCTTCTCCCTCTGTCTCACTGGGCGGGGGAGGCCTGGCTGGGGTAGGATCATGAGAAAGGCATCTCCCATCTCTGCGTGTGGGCTGACGGCTCGCATGGGCTGATCACCAGCATCCTACTGCTCTCCAGGCCGTCCAGAGCCATTTCGCTGTCCAAGCAGAAGCGTGAAGCCTGGTGTTCCAGGTGGGTGCCGGATTTCTGCCAGCGCTGAGACACGGAAAATAAAATGCAAACAGGAGAAAAAAAAATGCAGATACACACCAATAAACATGAGATCAGCACCCAGAAAGAACATCAAATACCTAGTTGGGGGTTTAACAGTAACATAATGTCCTACAAATTATGAAAACTATGTATTTTTTTAATTTTGACAGTATTGAATTTCTGGCTGACACTTTATTTGATGCTTATCTTGCATTTAACTAATATTCAACAAATTATTTGTTAAATTTACCTTAATTTTTCCTAACCCTAACCTTAAGCTCAACCCAAAACCTAACCCTACCCCTGGTACTAATACTAACCCTGACTTTCAGCAGATAGTTTGTTAATCAACTGAACATCTGCAGACAGTCTTTTGGGAGCTATCTAAACAAAGTGAGACCAATTTCTGTTCCAAATCTATCTAATAAACTAAAATAAATAAATTCTGATACAATTCACCCAATAAATGTTAAACCATCAATCTTACAACAACTACCTTTAGCTAAATTAGCACTTGCACAGCTCCACACTGCTGTCCTACATAACACTGTTTAACATTGAGCAATTTGTTGTTTCTGGTTTTCACATTCATTTAATAATGAATTGAAAAATTGGCTCATTTTGTTCAGAGCTAATAATTCAGTGGGAACTAATGCCTTAGTTTTTGCTAATGATTTGCTTGTTTAAGTTCTTTGGCCACCAACAGATAAAGCCCCTTTTCCACTTGGCCTGCTGTGGACCTGCCCTGATGGGCTGACTGACAGATGGACGTCTATGACATTTGACAGACTGTGTGCCGTAACAGGTTAGTTTGAAATAAAGTTTGGAGCTCTCCAGTCAACAAGCGCTGATGATTTTACAGTCTCTGTCTTTTACCAAACATCTTATTGTACAGTAACATTGCTTCAAACATGCTTTGACAGTATGAACAAAGTGGTTACTGCTCAACCCCAACCTGTTTCAGGGGCACCAGGGCTGTCAAAGTTCACGTGTTAATAACACATTAACGAAAGAAATTTTAACACCACTCATTGTTTTAACGCCATCAATACATTTTCTTTCATCCAAAACTATGCGGGCTGAAGGCCGGTTCCTTGTGTGCTGAATCTGCAATTGTAGCCCTCTTTAAACACAGTTTTTAAACTGTGGCAAAACCTACGAATAAATCAACGAGTAGCAAACTAACAAAAGCAACAGCAAGTGGAAAGCTAAAGTTCCTCTACTACAACAATATAAGCTGTAAGAACAGCTCTATTGACTTTATATATGATATATACACTTTTTGGTATGAACATGTGGATGCTGTTGCTCTCACTGGACATTGGTGATGAAAATTGGAAACTGTGTTCACCCTGTGGAAATGATAAGTTCAGGCTCACCTCGACTCATGTGAACGCTGCATTTATATAATGTTGAAAATAAAAAAATACTATTCTGATGACACTTTTTAAACTGAAAGTCTTTCCTTATGATCACATTTAGGCAAATAAGCAATTCATTATGATTAACTTTACAAAATAATATAAATAACTGCAATTAATTCTTGTTTTTTTCTATCCTGTACTAAAATTACACCCTAAAATTTCAGTTACACCATTAGTGTTAGTCCTGTCACACTCCCTCCATGCAATGATCTGACTTTTCTCCATATAGCAAACTCTCATAGAAGAATCTTGCCACTCTGCGCTACACCCACCCGAAATACATCACTCCGACATTTCCAAGGCGACAAATTTGACAAGGGAAGCAGTTGCTGGTGGCTCCCATGAGAAAAAAGCTTTTCCACGGGGGCCTGCCTAATGCTCCAGCTGTCTTGCCGAACTCATAGAGGCTGTGTCAGGAGGCTCCTCTAGAAGCTGTCAGGCTGGGCGTAAGTGAAGCTTGATTTATGGCCTGTCAGAGAGAGCATGCTTTGCGGAGTTACCTGTTTGCCGTCGCTGATGTTGCAGGGCATGAGCAGGATCTGCGAGGCTGGGAAGGTGGTGGAAACGGACAGGCAGTGCTGCTGCTGTCGAATCTGCTGCCCGTGCGTGTAGATCCACTCCTGCAGAACACAGTCATGGTTGGATGGCTGGTTGACCAAGTTTGGTAATAGCACTGTGCACCTGTAAGGTTCTTTTAATGGACACTGTTCACTGAACAGAATCACACGTCTCTAACAATTAACCCTTCTGCTGAGTTTACATGTTGACAATAGACGGTTGGTGGTAAACGGTGATGTAATTTACAAACACACATCTGCCAGTTCCCTCAAACCACTGGACTCAGTCTATCACTCTGCACTGAGGTTCATCACTGGAGACCCTTAAAACACTCATCACTGCAGACTGGATGAGAAAGTTGGTTGGCCCTCACTAGCAGCACGGCGGGAAACACACTGGTTTATTTATATTTATAATACACTCTCTGGCCGTATGCCAGAATATATAACTTCAATGATGTCTGTAAATAATGGTATTTATCAGACTCGCTCCAGTGGCTGGATCACATGCCAGCTACCGGGAGTTTTTACTGAACTGGGAAAATCTGCCTGTAGTTCCAGCTCAGCTCACTGGGTCACTCAGTTATTTAAACCTTTACTCTCTAACCACCTCCACTCTGACTGACACTGATTTCTTACCATTATTGTCTTATTTTCATTATTTTATTATTTATTTTTATTTATCATTATTATTTTAGATATTTTAATTATTTTTTGTTTACTTTTATCCTCCTTTTATTTTATTTTGATTTGATTTTGTTAAATTTTACATTTTAGCTACGTTTTAATTACTGTTTTATTTTCTACTGTATTTTTATATATTTTTATTATTAATGTTTAATTTTTCTATGCTTACCTGATTTGAGTCATTTTTTATAGACAAAAATGGAGATGCAATTTTTATTTTTTTTTATATTCATATACATCATACAGTGGCACACTGCCATTGGCCGTGTACTGTCACCAATTTTGCTATAAGGCCTATTTTTTGTAATGGCAACATGTCAAGACAACTTTAGAAGCCATAGTTGTTGCCGTTGATGGCAAATTCATGTTGCAATTTGATATTAATGGCTTATCATCCGTAGCCCATTGAAACAAATGGAGAAACTGTATTAAAAGTGCAGATTCTGAACCTTCAAATCAATCAATACTCTATTTGTGTTTGTAAATGGAAGATATTTTATTTATTAGTTTTAGTATGACGAAGTTGATGAAAAGTTGAGCATGCTGCCTCCATCTGAACTGCAATTCATTACATAATTAATTAATTCTGCATTTAATGCATTCGAATACCATCATCCTGAGACTCAGTGTCCTTATTTGAGGACATCATATCTCAGCCTCACTGTGCTCTTCACATTACTGAGCTACCTTAGAACTGATATTCTGAAATGAGGACAGTGTGTTTATGTCTAGTGTCATTAGTGGCACAAAATCTGCTAGGACGTTTAAAAAAGATGGCACCCACCTCAGTAAACTCATCTTTTGAGAAACGCAAACAAAACAACAAGATGTTTTGATGCTAAAATTAGTTTAGTTACAGTATTCAAAGTTCAGTTTTATGCACTAATTTGATGCTTTCAAGAAATATATATAAGCTGTCTTTGTGCATTACACATGTAGTACCTGTACCAGGACAGTGCGACAATGTTCCTGAAAAGCAGGGGTCAAACTCAACCAACAAAAATTTAAAAATCCCAACAAACCCGTGGGCCAGAGAACGTCTATGTTTTTATTTCATTTTTAATTATTGTTGTGCTATAACCCCAACTGGCTATATAACATCAGGCACTTGTAGTAGACTTTGAAATATCCTAAATTTAAATGTCCCCAGGAGCTCAGTCTTTTGAATCTACTATCTGCTTGAACTAGACTCCTGGCATCCTTTCTTTGCTGCAGGTTCATTAAGACTTGAGCTCAGTTTCTGAGCTGCTGAGCTGACGTTAGATATATATAGTGGCTAAACGGCAAATGAAATTCAGCTAGTTTGGTGATATGACTGGTGTAGAATTGTGTAGAATTGAGGTGTAGCCGCTGTCCCATAGACTGTTGTTGGAGCAGGAGAGTTGGAGCACACATTATGTTGCAGTGCATGCTGGGGACTGTAGTGCAGCGCACAGTGAAACGAGCTAATATTAACAGAAAATTAAAATACTTTTGTGGGCCGGATAGGATTGATCTGGCCCGCGGGCCTTGTGTTTGACACATGGGCTGTAAAGCAACCAAGCAAACCCATAGTAACCTTATACATCATTACCTGCAATTACACAAGTAACATCAGACTGTGCACACGCTGTTAGAAATGAAATGATGTCACGTGTATTTAATGTATTTGTATTTTGTAGGCTATACTGAGGTCTGTATACTGTAGGGTGCAACTAAATATGCATAGGCTACATCATTCAGAACAAACAGATGCATCCTGATGCCTTCAAAACAGGAAAAAAGATCCAAATAGGTGCTACTTGTTTTGTTGTTGTGTATTTATTTTAACTGCAGTTCCCTCTAAAAGTTTTTATCTGCAAATAAAACCCATGTCAGCTACTTGCTTTTTACACTCAGGTAATTTAAAAACGTTACAAGAAAATAAACCCGCTATCCTTAAGGACAGTGGTTTTTTTTGTTGTTGCTGTTCACAAACTACTTTCTGTTCCAGGATGTTGTTAATTTTACACATTTGGCAGGTGCTACCAGCCACAAATAATGAGGAGAGATTCAAAACGCATTAATTAACTGGGTCAAGGACAGCAGAGTGGTGCAGGTCAGCGCACCACAGTATTGTCAGAAAACAGCTCACTAGACTGATTTAAAGAACAAATTAGCTTTGTTCTTTTAAGCATGTTCGAAATCTCTCTCTCCATCTACATCAAGTCAAGGTCTGTTGGTGCATGTTAAGCAGTTAACAGCCTGAGCGGCTTCCCAAAATCCTATTATTCACTCAAATGAAGTCATCGCTGTTAGGCGTCTCCAGTTTTGCTGTCTTGTTTCTAAGCGTTTTTAAGGCTGTTGGGTGTTTCCAAACGTATGAGACCAGTTTTCCGCTCAGCAACAAGAGTCATACATTGCACTGATCTCTGGCTACAATGATTACAGTTTAACATGAAGGCAACTGAAATACACCCTGACATCTTCTACATGTTAATCTGTTTTAGCACAACACTTCTTTCATGACCATGATTCTGTTCTACATTGTCAGTATCCCACAGTCTGTCACTACACTCTCAGAAATAAAGGTACTAAACTGTCTCTGGGTCAGTTCCCCTCCTGTCACTGGGATGGAACCCTCAAGGCTCCATCTCAGTACCTTCAGTCAGGGAACATAACTGAACCATAATCCACTGAAATGATATGTTCTAAGCTGTACTGACTCCACACACCCCGTCTCGTCTCCAGGCTTTTATTTTACTGTTCTGTTTAAAACATTCGGTTATGAAAAGGTACAAATACGAACTTTTCACCTGGAAAAACTTATTTAAGGTTCACAATCAGACCCTAAAACCACTGTTGTACCTTTGAGGAAACATTTACACTGTTTGTACCTTGATGAATGAAAAATGTACCTGAACAGAACCTTCATTTCAGACAGTGTATTTATAAAGATGGCTCGGTCAGGTTTTTGAGTACTTATACCTGAATACTTGTTCTCAAAATCACCCTTAAAAACAATAATATTTATTATGTATTTTTTGGAGGCCTTGTTTGTCCTGCGTAAGCGTGAGGTGTCTACAGATATCCAGTCAAATCACACACACTTTCTATGGAATTCTAAACTACATTTCAAATAATAATTGACAACAATCTTTGTGGCCCAGTTGTTGTAGAGCAGCTACTGCCATACTAACAGAGTGAGGAGGAGACTCTTCTCTGATATAGTGGAAAAAAAATGCTGTGATTTTGTCAGAATAAATAGATCTGCTGTTTGTTCTTAAGCTGTAAAACTGTTTAATTAGAAAAGAAAGAGAGAACAAAGTGCTAATATTCTCACCAAAACCATGTGAAGGAGTCGCAGGCAATGTAGATTTTGAGCTTTTTCTTTATCATCTGATAATTAAAGGCGCCCTCACTCGTGATTTTGTAGGTGACTTTGTTCTTTTAACTTCAACGCCACGTGGGAAGCGGTGCAGGTTGAGTTGAGGTGACGTGGTTGCCTGGCATGAATGTAGGATGCACTCAAATCGCCTGGTTTGGGAATTGCAATGACTCTGATCGCAAGACCCTCCAGCGAAAAGTGAGGACATCAGGGTCTCTCACCCCTCCATCATGGACATCTACACCACACGCTGCATCCGTAAAGCCACCAGCATCGTGGGCGACCCCATCCATCCCTCACACAGACCTTTTTCACTGCTGCCGTCTGGCAGAAGGTACCGGAGCATCCGTGCCATCACTGCCAGACTCTGCAACAGCTTTGATCCTCAAACGATCAGGTTTTTAAACTCACAAGGACTGAACTGAAAACCCCTCACACACTATCTGAAACATTGCTACTAACACTGTGTTCTACTGAAGTACTGTATATCCTACCTCAGTAACGGCTGTGTTTATATATGTTATCTGACTGCATAAACCCAATATCACAGCATGTTAAATCTCTCTGCACCTTATTCTCACTACCTCATGCTCAGAAATGAGTGCTGTGTCGGTGCTGCACTGTCCTGTCAGTTTACTGTGTCTAATGTCTGTTTTAATTATCATATTTATTGTATTGTTGCTAGTTTAATGTTTTCACACTCACATCTGCACATTTGCACTTTGTACTGTATTATTATTTTGTTCCATGCTGGTCCTGGAGGATCGTAATTTCACTCCACTGTATACTTGTACCCAGATGGAATGACAATAAAAGCCTCTTGACTTGACTTGACTCAATGAAATGAGCTATGATACATATATATTTTTAACATGTGTAATACATTGATAATAACTGTTCTATCTAAATGCTTTTGTTGATTAAATAAGTGTAGTTTAGGCTAATCCATGGAAACAGATGGTTTGAAGGCTTAAGGTTTGGCTCATGGTGCAAACTCTCCCTACCGCTGACCGTACAAAGGCTAAAACAA